CATGATATTTCTGTTAAGTAACTTTTCTTTCAAGAATTACTGATGCGTAAAACAAAGAAAACTAGACGGCAGTGTGTGTTAACTATAACATAGTTGAACGGTAGGAAATTCAAAAGAAATTAGATAAAATAAAGAAAATAGTTTAATTTAACTGTATATTGTTACTAAATATGCCACAATAAGTAATATAATATAGTTAATTACCTTAAAAAGTTTTTTTTTATGTGAAAATTTGCCACACGAGCAGACGGTTCACCTGATGTTAAGTGAATACCGCCGCCCATGGACATCTGCTACATCGGAGTGTTGCAGATGCGTTGAAAACCTTTTGAAAATTGGGCTCCGCTCACCCGACGAAACGGGAAAGCATTATACTTCCACTTTACGCCGGTCTTCTGTGAGGTCGTGGTACTTACCCGGACGAGCCCGCCCATTCGTGCAACAGCCGAGGCTGCTGCGTGGCCCTAACACCGTATAAAAAGTATTCGTTTATCTTTAAATTTAATATATAATACTAGCTCCTGCTCGCGAATACGTCTGCGTAAAATAGGCTGAAAGCGTAACATTCAGACAGAAAGACAGATATGAATAACATATGTATATCATTTATAGCCTATGTCTTATTCTGATGTATAAGCTGTATTATTGTAAAGTTTCATTAAAATCTATTCAGTACTTTTTTCGTGAAAGAGTAACAAACATCCATCCATACATACAAACTTTCGCGTTTATTATCGCGTATTAGTAAGGATGATAGAATAACTTTATAAATGTTTAATACATAAAGAATAATTCTAACAGAATAGTAGAGTAGTTAACCATTTGTTGGGTAACGTGTTTTATCTCTGTGACTTTTCCTAAATACACTGCATGGAACATCTTTTATAATTGTACAGTTGGTATCCCTAACATTTTCTAAGGTCCGTAGTAATTACTGGACGTTTAAGTGGAAGTCTGCCACGGCAGAAGTGGACCAGGCACGGCAGTTGCTACTACGAAGTGTAACTCGAATCATTAAATCAATTAAGTCCCCTCCCGTTTCATTACGCACACGTCGTTGAATTTCCAAGCGTTTCTATGATTTGCCTCATCGGATAATGTCTGTTTGTGACCAGTGTGAGGCCAGTTTTTGCGTCGACGCGGACAGCTTTCCACTGGGGAGCGGGAACTGGATAAACGGGGCGATATTAAACGAATGTGGCATTTATTTCCAAACCCATTCCGATCTTTTTTCCTGCAATTACGATCTCCACGCGGTCCATTCGCACTTGAAGCTTAAACGAATTAGATATTAGGATAACCTTTTGACGTATTATGGGAAGGCTTTAAGTCCCACTATATACAAGTACTTATATATATATGGATTAAATTATAGTTACATGCAATATGTTATAATGTATGCATTTATTGGACTCGTGGTTGCAATTAACAGAATTATGTTTCAATTATTCACTACAATTTTGTTACGTATACTCATTGAGATTATAATTATTAAAGTTCATTCATATTACATCTACCATTGATTAATAGTAGAAGATAACTATTGTCTTTGTGCTAAAGTTCCTTAATTATGTTCTTAATTTTAAATTTAAAATAATTATTTATTGTAACATTGAACATAAGCATGGGTTTTCACATTGGCAACAGCTCACTTTTGCCGCATCCAGCTAATTGTAGAACACAAGCTATTGTAGACAACACTATATGTACCATGTTAATGCGAATAAATTATTATTACTTACGATAAGATGGCTAAACTCACTTTAAACCGGTGTATGTACCAACTAGTTTTGGACCCATCGGAGGTCCTTCATCAGGGTGAGTGAGATTAGTTCGCGGTCACGCCCCGTCTCGTTTCTAATTATTATAATTAAAAAATAAATAACGGTAGGATTTACATTAACAAGTATGTGTTCAATAATCCATATTAAAATAAAGAAAGAAAATGCATCGATAGTTTCTCCTAACTTTATTTACGTTGATTAATGTCATATACTTTAATGACCTTGAACTTGGTCGATATTATACTATATATGCAAATACACTTTTATAGCTGTTCATGAATGACAGTTATGGTACTATATCATATTTAAATCTTTAATGCAATTTTGAAAGAAAAACCGCTTAAATAAATTTGTCTCGGAATGATTTAAGTAGTAAACATGCCATCAAATACCAAACAGGTAAACCTTAGTTAGGGTTCATTGCGCGAGCGTCATTTGCATATTTTATTGCCCGTTTACTTTTTGCACCGTCAATACGTGACGAATTTACTTTCAATGTAATTGAGTAAGCTGTACGAGATTATGTTTTTGCTTGGCCGTTGTTTAAATATGCGAAGTTACGGAACAGTTGAAAGTGAAGAGTTAAAAAATGGATAGAAGAAAGAGTGTAAGGTCAGACATGCACACATATCGTAAAAGAAACGTATATTCAACTTATTTTCTGAAATAAAAAAATCGCAATATTCTCTATATTGCGAATTTCATACGAGGTTTTGATTTTATGGCTCCAATTGAGATATGAAAAAGTTACCTATAGATAAAATGTACAATTTAAAATTGTGTCTACTTAGCATATAACCAATGCTAATGAAAAACGATTTAATTGAAAAAAAAATCAAGTATTTCTCTAATTCTATTCTACTTTGCAAACAAATAGTAATTTTGAAACAACAAATCGAAATTTCAAACAAATAGCTTATGAGTAAGCTCCATGCAATGATACATATAATTCAACAAAATGTAACATAATAACAGAGTCTACACTCCAAACTTAATAGATCACACTATTCTAATAACATTCTGTGAAAAAGCCTAAAAAATTTTGATTTGATAATAACATGAATAAATTATTACATCATCTTTGATATTTAATTTCACTCATAACCATAAAAGTACGCAATTGTTTTTTGAGTTTGACATTGACATTGCTCGATTAGTATTCAAATCTACCTTAACCACGTGGCTAATTACATATTGCCATTACATTACAGCGAGGTCGTTTTAACCTTCACACCACATAACTTGCCTCTACTTACGCCTCGTCGCGAGTCTGGTCATCTCGAATTCTGCAGCGAGTGCGCGTTATATGAAGCAGTGCCGTCTCTTTGGTGGTTCGGTGGGACGCTTTGTACATTGTTTCTCAATCGCTGTTAACTTGTGTTAATGTGTAGATGTTCGTGAACGTTCACGTATTAAACGGATTTGAATTCGCAGGTTACAGGTATAATTAATTTTACTAGCTTAAGAAGAATTCCATGAGACCTCTTCCTCTCTTATTCTTCCTCTTTCTCCTGCCCTTATCCCACTGGGTGGGTTTGTTACAACATGTCCATTATTTATATGCTATAATAATATATATTCATATACTGTCATTTATACACTACATCCCCTCATGGAATTAAAACCCCTAATTTGTCACCGGATTGACCTCCACGGCCTGTGCTTTCGCGTCAGTCAGTGAGTCGAGAGCTATTTAAATTGGTTTTCACCGTTTTGTATTGCCAAGCGTAAAATTCTTTTGTAATTTTCAAAAGCTAACTTTCAAAAGGTTGTCAACGCATCTGTAACCTCGGGTGTAGCAGATGTCTATGGGCGGCGATTTTCACTTACCATCAGGTGAACCGTCTGCTCGTTTGGTAACTTTTCACATAAAAAAAAAGTAATATAACAAATTATTGGTGCTTTTGTTAGCATACGATATTATTATGTACGTTAGTTAATTTTGGCGGACTCTAATGAGAATTCCTGCGTTTATTTACTCAGTAAATCTAATCCATAAGAGGGGGATTTGTGTTAAGATAAAAGATTTAAAAGGTTTTAAGGCTACTTCGATAAATTTTAGATTAAATAAATAACATTTTTTAATGCTTAAATAAAATCCGTTTTGTGGATTTTATCGCGTTACATTTGTATTTGTAACATTATAAAAAAAATAGTTTAAATTTAGAATATTATTTTGAAATGCTGTGTTTTTATAATTATATGCGTGTATATTCGGAAAAACGTTATCAATCGTATATCGCAGCACAGACTATCGAAACATTACCATAAACCATTAATTACTGTTCGAGGAACTTTCTGAATATTTATGCCCGAAGTATTTAACTGCTGGAGTAACACTTAAATACAGATTGCGGGAGCGATGCCGTACTTTCGCAATTCATTTACTTTCAAGTTATTACGCAATCTTTATAGCTTTTGCTGATAATCTTTGGCTTAATCAAATCCCTTAAGTTATCGTTCACGGGAAATACAGTACTCACTACAATAATCAATAATAAAAAAACGTTTCGATTTCTAATGTATTTACGTTTAGCTTTTACAAAATTTCGAGTAACAATACTTTGAGTGCAATGTAAATTTAAAGCTGAAAATTAATGAAGTTTTATTATAGATCTTCGAATTTTGTATATGTGTCCCGGCTTACGTTTTGCTCTTAACTGATGCATGGGACTGCTCACAAATACTCTCAACTATTATAATATTTGTTTAGGGTTATATTCCTAATAGCGCTGATTAAATTATGTAAATGTGTAATAATAAATTATAAAATAGTGTATTTCGTAGCAGTTAAAAGAGTTATCTATATAAGTAATAAAAATTGGTTCGTCTGGCCGTGATCCGTGTAAGAACTGAATGACTTAACGCATTCAGCTCATATTCACAATACTTTTACTGTCGAGACGATCATCCCTAGCTTAATTAAAGTGAAGTTGTTGGTATGAGTGAAATATCGTCCGTTGTGACAACTAGTGGCTCATAATTGATTCACCATATTGCGAGAAAAAACCTCTTCTATACTGCATATAGTATCCTGCTTTCGGTATCAGATTGTTCGGAGTGTGTTTTTCGGAAATACTGCGTAGAGCAAGCGATTAAGTTAAGATATAATAGTATTGTCGGTTTTTTAAACTAATATCATAAAATTGACCACGTAACGTGTAGCTATAATTTTTTATCTTCTTAATCATTATGTTTCTGTTTCTTTGCAGTGAGATGGCGCGGTGGTGCGCGCTGACGCAGCAAGGAACGGTTTGGATTCTTGTGTTTCTTCTGCCTGTGGCATGGGCCACACCGGGTGAGTGTCATTCATAATTTTTCAAAACATTTCTTGACACCATAGAAGGAAATTGCAAAAATTTTACACATTAGAAGAGTTAAAATTATATTTTATACTTAACATTTTTAATAAAGACCGGGCCACTTGTTTCTTGCAATTATACTTACTAGTAAGTATTTAAATAGTTTTTGAGCACTTTATTTGACTGAAAATAAAATATTGACGGTTACAATATGTTCTACAGGCAAACATTGTTTGTTTGGTATTATGTATAAGACTGACTTAGTTCATATGTCGCGTGGAAGTTATTTGCATTAAAATTAATTGTTTCGGTCATCGTAGATTACTTTTTTTCAATTTTTCGGATTTCTTACGTGCAATACGTCACATTTCGGGCTTAATGAACTGAATGGCACTAGATCTACTACTACCCTTTGAGGGATAACATACGTGAAAAATTTGTGTTTATCATTTACATAGATATATGTCGGCCTTTATTTATGCCGCACCACTTAATGTTGGAGAAAATGCAACATTTATTATTTTAACACCTTCATCGGCGCATTGTGACTCAATACTGATGTGTTTCAATCGTCCATTGAATGTTAATAACGCAAATGGCGGGGAGCACAATAGTGATGTTTATTTATTCAGAACAATTAGGAGCAAACAAAATGAGAGGTTATCGCGGCATGTCGGTGAAAGTAGTTTTTGCATTATTACGCGGCGGATGACGTTTCGCTCGATGATGGGATGATGAACCAATAAACCAATTTAAGGAGCAAATCATAATTCAATCATTTATCGTTCTTAAATATCCCTCAGTGTTTTTTTAAGGATGGTAATGAACAAAGAGATACTTACTACTTTATATTCGAACGACATTAGGAAGGTGTTTGAACAAATATATTTAAAAAAAGATATAAATGCAAAAAAATGTGTATGTCACATGATTGACGCTTTTGAATTATTAAAACGAAAAACACTAAGAATCCTGCAAACTTGGTGGTAAATTAGCATAGCTGGTCGAACACTAGTCGATAAGGCGATAATTTAAACACTCCCTCCTAATTATTAAACGCAGTAAAGTATTGTTACCAAAGAAACGTCCGCGTGTGTTTTACTCCGTCGCTCCGGTATTCAGCGAATCAATTAGAGTTCGCCGTTGGCGGTTGGGCCGGAATTACTGTATATTTCATCGGGTTGCCTCGTGTGCCTTACGCCAATTAACCGTTCGCTTTATATGTCCCGCAAATGCTTAGCCATTGCGGAGTCACGAAGGCAGACCGCGTTACTTTATTTCCGCTCGGCCGGAGATAACTGTCGCATTATTAATGAATAATTATTAAGATTGAAGACCCGAATGGCGTAGTGGATGGTGGAACATTCGCTTGGTCGCCTATATACTCGGAACAGAGGGGTCTTTGCTCAAAAGTGGGACGGGTTTTTATTGGCTGTTACAACTGCACATTGTATATTTCTGAATATTTGTGTGAAAACATAAGAATAAGATGCCATATAAAAAATCTAAAACCATAAGCCTTAAAACAACAAGGGATGGCTTTTATTTTATATGTTACTATATGATACTAAGATCTGTTTAATACTTTATTCATCATCCATAGACAAAATTTTGTTGATAGCAGTTTTTGTCTATAGTTTATTGATTGATTGATAGATTAGCGCAATTGAGAACGAGTTCCAAAACTGAATTCGTCAGTAATTTGTATAGTTTCGGAACAAGTATTATAACTTTGTCCCATAATACGTTTTCCTTTAAGGGCGACCTTCTGAGTGCTGCCTCTCTTTTTAAGGGAATCGTTAGATAAATATGTACCGTATCTGCTAACCGCTTATAACTAAAGACGAACGTAAAAGGCGTCGTATTTGAGCAAGTCGTGCTAATGAGTTCTCTGACAAATAGTTTATTAATTGAAAATTTTTCGCTCATTCCGGTGTAAAAGCTCTTAAAATGGCGAAAGAAACGCCGTCGAGAAACTTTCTCAATATTAATCATCTAAGAATAGCTTTTCTTAGAATTAGAAGTTACGATTAGCAACCGTCTTCATTTATACATTAATCATTAATTATCAATGTACCTAACGTACGTGCTGAGTGACGTCAGGTACTTATAATTTTACGATCATTTGGCGAACACAAAGGTTGATCACATTTTAAATTAAATAAAATTTCCAATATAATTGCACACTTCTCAAGAGCTTTGGGAGCTTTTACATCTGAATGCCGGTCTTGCTAGAATACTATTATTTATACAGGTAATTAATTATTTTCCATAAATTTGTTTCAATAATTAACTGAGCACACTGTACTGTTTACATTATTGTAAATTGTTAATTATATACCGAAGCGATAAGTCCTGAACGCGCTGGTATTACAATATCGAAGTTATTATAGTAATTATTCTTGTATTTATGCGCAGAGATTACGATAAATCTCTCGATATTATAATCTAAACTAATGCAAAATGTCATACCTTCGATCTTGGCCTTCGACACCATTAGGTGGTGCGGCCGCACACATTAGTTTCGCATCGCTATCTCTATTACGGGAAATTCTGTTAATACCTCATTTAGATAGATACATGGCTAGTATACAGTTTATCCGTGGTACAGTTTACCTGTAGCAATGTCTATCTTTGTCTCAATATATTAGTACATAGCTAGAGCTTACCTGTGGCTAGTTTTTATGATGGCTCTGTCTGCCTTTGCCCCAATATACGTATATTTAGGTATATGGCTAATGTTTACCTGTCTTTGCCTCAGTATACATAGGTTTAAAGCGCATACAATCTTTTTTTTTTAAATTAAAGTTACGAAGCGGTAACATATATTTATAGTTACGAATGTGGATTAAACATTTTGTTATATACAAGCTTACATTTGACATATTGTAACTCTTACACCTTTATTAATCGACAACTGAATTAGACGTACAATGCGTTAAAGCTTTGAAGGCGAGGGCGCGATTATTATTTTTCATGTATGAGATATTCCATAAATAGCATGATAACTTTAGAATTCATATGAATTAAAAGTATGGGCTTAGAAGTGTGCAGTGGGAAAAACTTCTGTCAAAGTAATAAGGAATCGATAATATTATGCACTTCCTGACAAGTTTCTTATTCGTGACAAAGTAATACCTCCAAATGTATTTAGTAACAGTTTCCTTATACATTCGATTGAATGCCTTCAAGAAATATACCACTTTTATTTTTCTTGCTTTAGTTGCAATTAATTAATATATTTATAAAAGGAATTAAAACTTCAACTATTATAAGACAGATCTAAGGATAACTTAAACCCGTAACCCACGAGTTACATATAAGTTATGTTACGGATTTACCCGTTGGCTATAAAACTCGCTTTATGTGATTTAATCCTGACCAGCTTCCATGAGCTTTATTTATTGCCAGTAAACCTCAGGAGAGCGCGTCTTATTATGTATTAGTTTTACTAAAATTACTGGAAGCCTCCAAAGCACCCGATTTACTAGTGCAGACCTCATTACGATAAATAATCCTTAAGTATTACGCTTTTATCGTCGTCCTGCAAATTGGCATTCCATGTTTTTATATTAACTTCACATTGTTTAAATGTCGGTAAAGACCCGACAATATCTGTAGGATAGTTGAGTTCAGAATTATGACAATACAGTATATTGATTTCTTTACGCGAATATTATACAAGGTTAAATGAAGCTATTTTACGGGTTTTTTCGCGTTATAATTTCGAAACCTTTCCAGCGTTCGTGGTATTATGGTACTGCATAAAACGTGTGGAATTTTATTGTTTAACGCATTAATCCAACGTGTAAGCATTTTAAAAGAAAGATTAATGTTCAAGCGCATTTCCTCACTTGTGTTTATCTTTTTTTACCGCGAGGTGGAAATAAATAGAAAAGTCTATGTTTACGGTGATCGTTAGTTCCTCAGTGCTCGGGGATGTTCAGTGGTAATTAAATTAAAACCCGCACAGCCAATAAAACTGACTTTGGTTTTACTTTATTAGCACTGCCCCGTCAAAGCGCGTATTGCTCGTGAGTTCATTGCCGCCTAACATTTATTGAGCGTTGAAAATATTCACCGGCCGCCTCTTCCTTATGAGTTATTTACAGTGAACCATGTCGCGTCTACGCTTACGCAGTTTCTCGTCAAGATTGTAAAGCAGACAGATATTAATCGAATGGCAAGCCAATCTGTTTTTATCCACACAAGAAACACTCACATATTTAATGTCTTATGGGGAAAGGAAAACCCCATTTTACCGCGGTAAGTTAAGCCTTAATAGCCAGACCATAAAAATATTACACGAAGACTTTAAACCATGATTTTACGCTGCATTTTAGGTTATCATACAGTTAATAGTACTTAAAATATCGCAGAAGTTATTTTGAGGAGTGTTGGTTGCGTCTGTAACACCTATGAAATATACTATTGTAATACACTATATACCAGTATTATTATAAATTACTAGTAAGGACGGTACGTAGTGTATTTACTATATCATATATATACTAAGCTATAAGTTTTAATCTCGTAAGAAATAAAGTAGCGATAAAAATTGTTGTTTACAAACTTTTACATAGTCTGTTGGATTGGCTTACGTGTTAAAAAGAAAAAATCTTAAAAAGGAATTACTACGGTGTATATTAAATTTTATTTCGTAGTTTTTATACCTAATAACCTAATTAATTTTAACATAATAAATTATATTATAAGGCATGGAGAGGAATAATGTAGAGCCTTTTGGCATACTGTAGGTCTTAGTCATCTTTAATTACATATATGAAATTTGTACAAAGGTAGAAAGAAGCCAGCGTTACTTATCAAGCGAATAGCGGTGCTTGCACCGATGTGTTCCGGTTCGGAGGGTGAGATGGCCAGTATAATTACCGTGTACCGAGATAAGAATATATTATTTTGAGGTCTGCAGGGTCCGAAGCCCGCGTGAGGCCTATAATCTTCCACACGTACCTTTACTTCGTACATAAATACCCGTAGTCTGTATCCCTTCATTTAATGCTAACGTGTTTATCCTATTGGATACAAGCTAGTAAGATTCATACATATGTATATATATCTACTGAGTTTAACGTTATAACGAAAATCTCGATTGGGTACATCGCACATAACTTATTATTGCCTGTTTATATTTTAAAATAATATTATTGCTTACTACCCTATTTTATTGTTGTGTCTAAAATTATCATCAGTGTTTAAATGTTATTATAAAATGGAAAATACCATTTAGTAGTTTCCGACCCGACTGTTTCAATAAAATTTCAAGGCTATTTCAGCTTCTACATTTGTAGGTTATTGTCAACAAATTATCATAAATAGAAGACCGTTATTTTCCTCGAACTATAAACTGCTAAAAATAGACATTTCCCTCTTGCACTTTATCATCTTTCTATTTTTTTAATATGTATGTTATTATTAGAAGTCGCTTGAAGTTGGATTTGTAATTGAAGTTCTCCCTGTAATGTCTTACTTACAGCGAACAACTTAAAACTCACGCAACGGCGCCATTACTTTGTCAGAAATTGGTATGACCGCATCAAATCTGGTATAAACTTCTATTGTCAACGGATTTTCGGGATTGCAATACCGACGAGCGGTCAATGAACTCACCCGCTTTAACAAAGACATACAACATGCTCGCGAATGGAGTAAACAAACAAATATTTACATTTCGGAACCCAACGTGAGAAGAACAATTGCACCATGTTTACACGTATTCACATGTCCAATTGTCTATAAGTTTGTATAAATAGATAGTATTAAAATAAATAGATGTTTATTCGATTCAGTGAAGAGAGAACGTCTCATAAACAGCAGCCTTCTGCTTCGCAAATGTCGCATTTTCATAGTCATTCCACATGAACGCTTTTGTCTTGTTTTCAGATCGCTTAAAACTCTAATGCCTTGTTTAAAATGGGTTTCATTTATTATCCTAATCCAATACTTTCGATGGAAATATTTTAACGGGTGGATCAGTGAGTGTGTAATTTTGTTAATCTTGTTGTGCTGACGGTACAGGAAAATAATTTGCTCGTTATTTATAGGACCATGCGAAGTGGAGACTGACCAGTCCAGCATTATCGTGGATATAGAAGAAAGCAGAGGAGACCGTGAGTACTTCTCGAATGTTCTCTTATATAGACAATTTGCCTCTATATGTCACATATAGACAATTTGCCGTGATAGCTCAGTGTCCGGGCGCTCGCCTTTAATTCGAGCAACCTGAGTTCGATCCCCGGTGCCGGCACCAATGAAGTTTTTAACTTTAAGTGCTGACTTATCACGTCCTCCGCGATGAAGGCAAACATCGTGAGGAAACCTGGCATATTTTCGAAAATAATAACAAAAAAAAATATATTTTTCGAAGATATGTGAAGTCCGCCAATCCGCAGTGGGGCCGCGTGGTGGACTATGCCCTGATACCCTCTGTATAGAGGAGGCCTTTGCCCTGCAGTGGGACATGTATAGGCTGTTACTTTTTTTTTAAGACCATTTGCACGGAGCAGTATCACGTTCTTCATGACATGGTATCGGAGAGGAAATTCTGATCCGTTTTATGTTATTGTGGTAGGCCCATTCAGCAGAAGCTGTTGCACGAATGGGCCAGGAGCGTTCGGGGAAGTACCACGGCCTCACAGAAGACTGGCGTGAAGTCGAAGTACTAAACTTTCTCGTTTCGTCTGGGGAGTGCGATAATCGAAGCCCACTTTTTAAAGGCTGTCAACGTGTTTGGTTGACGTGTTGTCAAAAGGTTGTGTTTCCATGAGCGGCGGTGTTCACTTAACAACAGGTGAACCGCCTGCTCGCTTGACCACTTTTCAAATATCAAAAAATGTTAACGTAATCAACTACTAGATTCGTTTCTATCAACGTCGAATACCACATGAAAAGAGTTGTCATGTTCCAAATAGATTCGCGTTCATCCAATGCTTGCTTTGCAGAAGTGAACCAGAGTACAGTTCCCGCACAGCTGCCTGTGGTTGGCGAGCCCGGGGTGGACGTCGTGCTTTCGACAGTGTTCCCTAAGGGTCCCACGCTGTTCCAGTTGGACGGGAAGCGATTGCAGCTGCTTCAGCCGCTTGACAGGGATGCGGACAATCTGTCTCACATGGTGTTCCAGGTCGGTCCACCTTCTTGATCTGATTTCGTATTCGCTCACGGGTGTACTATAACGTTTTAGTGTGATTGGTTCAACTTGTTTCGACCGAGTATTTCTATTCGAATTAAGATAGTTAATATTTAACGGGCAAGTGTTGTTGTTCAAATCGTAGTGGTTGTGATGTGTTTTAAAAACCTAATTGAAGCAAAATAATACGGTTATTTTGTGCGATAACTTTGTTGGTGAGTTGCTATGCAGGTGGGTATTTTTGTGCCGTGTGGTGTCGGCGTAAGAATAAGCCACCCCATCTCATCCCGTGGGTGTCGTAAGAGGCGACTAAGGGATAAGCCACAAACATCCAGTGGCCTCCGATAGATGGCGGGATAACCATCTTAATTCTCCAGACCCAAATATCCAGGCCAATAACGGGCAGCAGCGTTGAAGGTGCGAGGTGTGGAAGAACTGCGGTTGCCAACCCGCTCGCCAAGCGTGGCAACTATGGCAAAAACCCCTCATATATGGAAGTCCAAGGTGTACGGCCCCCAGTACCCGGCGGCCCTGCTATTCCTGGCTACGGTAGCGGTCATGGTAACGGCAGGGCAGGGGGTGCTAAGAATCCTAGGATTCGGCTACCAACGACGGGCGACTGGACCTGGCAACATACAACGCAAGAACATTGAGGACTGACGAGAAGATTACAGAGCTGGAAGAAGAGGTGAACAGGCTGCGCTGGGATATAATAGGATTATCTGAAGTCCGAAGACAGGGGGAGGACACGATAATCCTCGAATCCGGCAACCTGTTTTACCACCGGGAGGGCGACCAACTGTCCCAAGGTGGTGTCGGATTTATCGTCCACAAGTCTCTCATTAACAACGTTGTTAAAATCGAGGGTGTGTCGTCGAGGGTTGCGTACCTTATACTCAGAATATCCAAACGGTATTCGCTGAAGGTCATACAGGTCTACGCACCAACGTCGACACATCCCGATGATGAGGTGGAGGCAATGTATGAGGATATATCACGAGCCATACATTCCTCCAAAACTCAATACATGGTGTTAATGGGAGACTTCAACGCAAAACTGGACAAAAGAGAAATACGATGAGCTGAGGTAGGAAGTTTTGGTATAGGGCAACGGAACCCAAGGGGGCAGCAAGCTGGCTGACTTTATGGAGAAGGAGGGACTCTTTATGATGAACTCCTTCTTCAAAAAGCAGCCCCACAGAAAGTGGACCTGGATTAGCCCCGATGGTTCTGTAAAAAACGAGATAGACTTCATTATGACGAACAAACGGCAAATATTCAATGATGTCTCTGTGATCACAAGGGTGAAGACCGGCAGTGATCACCGATTGGTGAGAGGCACGTTGAATATTAATATCAGGCTGGAAAGATCTCGTCTAATGAAGTCCACACTCCGACCATCTCGTGCCCATATCCAAAACTCCGAAAGCTTTCGGCTCGAGCTACATAATCGCTTCCAATGCCTAGAAAATTGCAACACTGTGGACGATATTAACGCTAAGCTCGTGGAAACTGTCCATGCCGTGGGCCTTAAATTTTATAAGGCCCGCCGCACAAATAGAACGCAAAACTCTCCGATCACACTCTTAACCTCTTGGGAAAAAGACGTGAGATGCGACTGCAGTCTTTAACTGACATGTCAGACTACAGGCGGCTTAATAGGCAGATCTCCAAATGCATGCGGCGAGACTTACGCATCTTCAATACAGCTCGTATTGAGGGAGCTATAGAGCGGAACCTAGGCTCAAAAGTCTTCGCCAGAGATCTGTCTATCGGACAAAGCCAACTGACTAAGTTGAAGACTGACAGCGGGGCTGTCATCTCCAGTAGACCAGAGGTTTTGAGTGAGATTGAGAGGTTCTATGGACAGCTGTACACATCGTCGTTGGAGCCACACACATGTGTGAGTTACGACCCAAGAGCAAAGCTTATCCGACACTATTCCGAGAATATCACGGACGTCAGTCTGAGCGAGATTAGAATGGCTCTCGACCATCTTAAGAATGGCAAAGCATCGGGAGAGGACGGAGTTACAGCAGAGCTTCTGAAAGCGAGTGGAGAACCGGTACTTGTAGTCTTTCAGAGGCTCTTTAATTTCGTCCTTCAGGGTGGTGCTACACCAGAGGTGTGGAGCAGAAGTGTGGTGGTGCTGTTCTTCAAGAAAGGCGATAACGCTCTCTTGAAGAACTATAGACCGATATCCCTTCTGAGCCGCGTCTATGTGATGTTCTCAAGAGTCATCTTGAATCGTCTCGCTTCCAGACTCGACGACTTCCAGCCTCCCGAACAAGCCGGATTCCGAAAAGGCTTCAGTACCATAGACCACATACACACCTTGCGGCAGGTTATACAGAAGACCGAAGAGTATAATCTGCCTTTGTGCCTAGCGTATGTGGACTATGAGAAAGCCTTCGATTCTGTCGAAATTTGGACGGTACTCCAGGCTCTTCAGCGGTGCCAAATTGACTGTCGGTATATCGAAGTGCTGAGGTGTTTGTATAACAAGGCTACGATGTCCGTCCAAGTACAGTCCAGTAGTACAAAACCTATCCATCTGCAGAAGGGTGTAAGACAGGGTGATGTCATATCCCCGAAACTCTTCACCGCTGCGTTGGAAGATGTTTTCAAGCTTCTGGACTGGAAAGGACGAGGTATTAACATCAATGGCGAATACATCACCCACCTTCGATTTGCCGACGATATAGTCATCATGGCAGAATCGCTGGAGGACCTGGGTGCTATGCTCAATGACCTCAACAGTGTCTCCCAACGGGTGGGCCTTAAGATGAACATGGACAAGACGAAGATCATGTCTAATGTCCATGTCACGCCTATACCGGTTGTTGTTGGGAGCACTGAGCTCGAAGTTGTTGACGAGTATGTTTACCTAGGACAGTTAGTCCGGCTAGGTAAGTCCAACTTCGACGCAGAGGTCAATCGGCGAATCCAACTCGGATGGGCAGCGTTCGGGAAACTTCGGCAAATCTTCTCGTCGAATATACCTCAATGTTTGAAGACTAAAGTCTTCAATCAATGTGTGTTGCCAGTGATGACCTACGGAACCGAGACGTGGGCCTTCACTGCTGGCCGTATGAGGAAGCTCAAAGTCGCTCAGCGAGCTATGGAGCGGGCTATGCTCGGTATTTCTCTGCGTGATAGAGTTCGTAACGAAGACATCCGCAGTAGAACCAAGGTAACCGACATAGCTCAGAGGTTTAGCAAGCTGAAGTGGCGATGGGCCGGCCATATAGCTCGTAGAACCGATAACCGTTGGGGAAGAAAGGTTCTCGAGTGGCAGCCTCGTACTGGCCATCGCAGTGTAGGACGACCCCCCACTAGATGGAGTGACGACCTGTGCAAATGTGCGGGAAGTCGATGGATGCAGGTGGCTCAGGATCGTACTTCGTGGCAGTCTATGGGGGAGGCCTATGTTCAGCAGTGGACTCAAACAGGCTGAAATGATGATGATGATGATGATGATTTTTGTACACATTACGTTTTTTTTTATGTGAAAAGTTGAGTCGAGCAGACGGTTCACCTGATGTTAAGTGAATACCGCCGCCCATGGACATCTGCCACTCCCGAGGGTTGCAGATGTGTTGACAACCTTTTGAAAATTGGGCTCCGGCCACCTCACTCACCAGACGAAACGCGAAAGTATTAGACTTACACTTTACGACCGTGGTCGTGGTACTTACCCGGACGGGCCTGCCCATTCGTGCAACAGCCGAGGCTGCTGCATTTACTATTGATCAATTATATAATTCTCTATTTAGTGAAATGCATTTATTTCTTAGTCGATAGCGATCGACTGGATTGCTTTTGTATAGTTTTTTTTGTTTAATAGACACTTAAAGTGATTGTATTTCCAATTAGCACCTTCAATTCATACATCTATTGCTTTTGCATTGCGCGAGTCTCTATTAACGATGTAATTTAATAGGCTTACAAATACGCAGGTGTCTTTCGTTTATTACTATTTAAATGAACGTAGCCCGAAGCCATTTTGGGAGATTTAATAGGCGGTCATATCAGCGATTGGCTGTGGCGAAAGTTTTGCAGTTGATCGAGTCTAATAATAAAGGCTATTGTAAAACAGTTTGGCGGTAGATAAATGAAAGTCACTACTTGAAATTGGTAGCTCTATACTTTTAGCCAATGTTAGATGATCTACGGCTCCCTTGCAAACAGAAGAAATATGCGTTAAAATTTATTCAAAGAGCTTCCAGTTTAAATCCAATCTTTTTATTATAGCTGTTTAAATAATTATAAATGCAAAGCAGTATCATGTTTTTATTGCGAACGCTCCTAAAACTCCGTCGTCCGTTCAAAATGACAATGCTTTCAAACAGTTAGCAATCTCTGGTTACCATTTAGTTTTCTGTTATTTTGAAAAGCTATTAACCATGTATTTATCCGTTTCAAGTCGAAGAACGATATGTGTTTGTTTCTTTGAGATGGTGGAGGTAAATAACGCCGCTCATAGGCATGGGGTTGTCAATGTTGTAGCCAATCTTGAAAGAGGGCCCTTCTTTTTACTTACACTTAGCATCGGACTTCCTTTTGGGTCGTAGTACTGCCCCGGATGAACATGCCCGACTGTCCAACAGAAACCATTGCTTGGCCCTACCATGAAAAGTTGTTATATGAAACTCAAGTTTAATAATTTATTCATCGAAATAAGAAACATAAATTTCACTTATTCGTAGACATTTTTTACATTAAAATGTTGATCAAGTTTTTTTTTTGAAATAGCTTAGTAGCGATCAACTCATTCCCAGGGCTTATTATCATTACATGTTCATTTATATAAAGAAGTAACGCTTAAGTAAAAAAATGAACAGGATTTATAATCATAACCAGTGGACTACATTCATATGTCACACGGAAACGCGGAAATGCACCGTATCACATGTTTTTGATGCAGGCTTGTCACCGGTTGTTAGCTTTTATTCAACGATGTTATCATCGGAAGGTGCGAGGGAGATGAAGGGAATGCATACGCCATTTGTTTTTTTCAGCTCGTGTGTCAGGTGAAAGCGACTAAAAAGAGACGGACGATACCGGTGATAGTGCGGGTGTCCGACATCAATGACAACGCGCCGGTGTTTCAGAATGCGCCGTACGAGGCCAACATTTCCGAGGTACGCTTTTTGCTATAGGGCGTGGAAACGGGTGGAAACGGGTGGAAAGCTATGTTAAAAATAATGAAATGTAAAGTGCAAGAATCACAGTAAGTCTCTTTTACCATCATATTGCTCATTCCTTACAAGTGAGATTCATCTTTTAAGCTGGTACCAGTCGGCACAACGATTTTCGAAGGCGTCAGAGCGGTGGACATAGACGCCGGGGTCAATGGCCTCTCGGAGTACTTCATCGTGCCCGGGAACAATCGGACCCTGGAGGAGGCGAACGCGGTGGACGGCTATGGTTACTTCTCCATACCTTTGCCCCACCAAGGGGTGGTAACAGTGAACCGGACCCTGGACTACGAGCGCACGAAGCTTTATCTAGTCACAATTGTCGCTTCCGTAAGTGTTACGACTAGAGTTGATTTTTGATTGTTTCATATTTTTTATTTTTCAACATTTCATATCAACATACTGTATTAAAGTTCTATAATCTTATATGGAATTAAATTGAATATGAACAATCGTCCTGTATTGGATCGATTATTATTTGTGTGTTACATAATATTCAACCCTTCGTGATTTACTTGTCGTGTGTGTATAGACAAACAATAGCTTTGAACAGCACCTCATGTGTACTACTCCATTGCATTTTCTTAGCTTTGTTTAACTTTTCCAATATTACTATAAGTTCAGTGATAGCTCATGGTCCGAGCGCTCGCTTGTGATTCAAAACGCTTGAGCATAATACGTTCAGATCCCGGTGCGGGCGTAAAACACTGTGAGAAAATATAATATGCATATATTGAAAGTAATAACAAAAAGTATTTCAAAGATATGTCCGCCAATCCGCAGTGGGGTCGTGTAACTTTGCCCTAATATCCTGCCCAGCAGTGATACATGTATAGGCTACAGTAAAGTAACAAATTTACTTTTGTTTTTTCCCTTCACCAGACCAGCTACTGAAATAAGAGTGCCTTTATTGTACTTTACATCATTTATTGTAGGACCGCGCGCGCGATACCAAACGTCGCCTGTCCAGTACCACAACGATGACCGTCAACGTATTAGACGATGACGACCAGGACCCATCCTTCATCTACCAGGGCTGCACGTTCCACGAGGGGGCTTGCATCAACCCCGAGTACACCTCCTACGTAAGTAGTACGACGTTTGACTTTTGTATTTCACATTGACCAATAAATCAAATCAAATCATTTTTTCATCGAAATGAGAAATATACATATCTTCTATCGATAGTCATTTTTGAAATTTTCTACGGTTTCGTAATGAGATTCCTCTCACGACTTAGAAACGGGCGAAAGAAACACTGTAGGTATACTCTTTTTGTCTTTTTTTCTCCTCAAAATATTAAAATAGCTTGGGAGCGATCGTCCCTTTCCCAGGGCTTATTATCATAATTTTTTTCATTTATGTTATAATATTCCTTTTTAAAAAGTTTTTCTTTAATAAATTTCTTAAAACTGATGGCTTTGCGCATTAACTGGTATTTAGCTTGGGAATACAAACTCAACTCGGTGATAGCTGAGCAGCGGCGCTGGGGGCAGTGGGTTCGATTCCGACACGCGACAAGTATTTGTGTTACCAAAGATGATTGTTTCGTATCTGGGCGTTCCCAAGGACAAGTTTCGTCAGTCGCTCGTTAAAAACTTAGCTAATGCCATTAACTACATGATTCATATGTGCTGACCCCACTTAGGTGGGATATGATTATGCCGATGACACTAATTGATAGTTTTTACGCATTCGGCTACCGGCCCAGGTGATCAGGTTCTGTGATCAGTTGTTTAGATTTGGACGTGAATATCTCGAATTTGACTCAACTATTATTATATTAAGGTCATTTCATTGACCATTTAAAATAAATGGCTTGTTGACAGACGCAAGTGAAGAATAATGACGGCTTTGTTTTCGATGTCAGAAGCGAAAAGATGTTTAGAAAACCTCTTGCGTTATACACTTTGGACTCTTTAAACATAAACTATCCAGCAACTAGCCGTTATTTATGTTCTTCCACTTGATTTTTTGACGATATGAGGTGGATAAAATGTTAAATATTTATACTCACTACAGATTAGATCTAACTGAGACAAAAGTTACAAATCTAGCGCTGACATCAAAGTAATCTGAAGTTCATAGAGATGATATATTACGATGGATATACTCACATGCGTATGAGGAATTAATGCCATGCGTATCATCTTGCAATCTTTTGAAAATATTTAATTGGCCTTTAATTTTGTTAAATTTGATCACACAGTAACTGTAAGTTTTCCAAAAATATATAAAATAAAATAAAATAAGAATTGCATGGCTTTAAATCCTCATACATTGTTACTTTAGCTTATGTAGTATCTAAAAGTAATGGTCGCATATATCAGCCGTGTACTATTTTCTCAAAACAGGTGAACAGCGGAGTCCTGGCGGGCATTCTTTCCATCGAGCCAGAGAAGATCCAAGCCGTGGACATGGACACCCTGGACGCGAGGATCCAGTACAGCATAGAGAGCGGCGAGCCCGACTCTTGGGCGACGTACTTCGCGATAGACCAAAACACCGGAGCCGTCAGGCAGCTGGTGCCTGTCGATACGACGATCGCTAAGCGTTTTCAGCTGATCATAAAGGTATTTTAGTGTGCAGAGAGCACTCAAGATGAGACTTAAAAAATAATAACCGAACAAAAATTTTTGGCGCTGCTGCATTCGACCGTCTTCGTGCGTCTTCTGGTTTCGCGACCGGACGCCTGATTGGATGCGCCTACCGTTGCTAAAGATGCAATAGAAGTAACGTAGATAGATGTCGAGAATTTTCGCGCTGTGAGGTCATCGGCCGTTTAGCGTTTAGCTTGCCCGTTTACCGTGCGTGAAGACGACACGAAACATTACTTTTTTTTTTTTTTTTTTGTTGTCGTGGGGGTTAAAGGGTCAGGGCGGGAATCCTGATGACATGGGTTCGATTCTCATAGCGGCGAAACTATTCGTACTTCCTTCTACAAATTTTAATGCTTAATCTTTAGTGCAGAGATTAGAACTGTAAAATATTTAAACTTCTATGTTATGTTACCGTTTACGTGAAGATTGCCGACAGATATCTGTCAAAAAGACGACACGAAACAATACTTAGCTTTAAAGTGTGTGCGTCTTGAACATTAAACCTTTGCATTGGCGGGGTGCTATTGTAAAGATATTTCGTATCTCTTCTTTAACGTTGTCTGTTTTATTGTTTGTCTGTAGGCAGAGGAGGCGACGGAAGCGCGCCGTTACACCACCGCCAAGTTGACGGTGACAGTCAGGCCGGTGGACGCCAGCCCCCCCGTGGTGGCGGCCTCTTCGGAAGAGGGCCGCGTGGAGGAGAACTCCCCGAGGGGCACCAAGGTCTTGGACGCTAACGGGAAGCCCATCAGGTTGACCGTCTCCGATCCGGATCTTGTGAGTTCGTCGCATATATTGTCTGAATCTGTCGCGTGTATACATCGGCTACTTGTGTTACCCTTGATTCGAATATCTTTATTCACATATATTGTTTGAATGTGTCATGTTTATGCATCGGCTACTTGTACACTTGATTCAAATTCAAATATCTTTATTCAACATAGGAGCATTACACTCGCTTTAATGTTTTATATTTAGAAACTTACCGATTTTATTCCGTTTCATTTAGTTTTTTATTTGCCGACGTTTCGAACCTTAGGAGATTCGGCCTAACTTGTTTATAAAACCTATGCTTGTTATGTAATTATGTAAGAACTGTTCTGATATTGTGATAACATTCTGCTTCTCTTCTAACATGAATGAACTTGAAACAGACCTTGATTGCTCGTTGGCAAAAGCTATTTTCCATGGCGCTGGGGGTCGTATGTGTGACTCACAGATCAGGGTCTGGGCGTTTCCCCAAGTGTTAACGCCGGATAGGCAGCCAGTCGTTAAAACATACCCAATACCACTAACAAAATTATTGGAAATGGTGGGATATGGGTAGGAAGATGATGATGAGATTTGACGCTGTAATTGTTTGGAGGGTGATGTCCAGTTTTGGTCGCATATAATGAGTTCTGGTTTATTACCGTGATTTAATATTCAACATGCAAATCGCTTACATTGACGCGTGATGAGTGCAAGCGAGCAGGCTTGAATGATCCGCCGCTCTTTACAAATGTACAATACCTGTGGAGTTACAAATTTGTTGCCAATCTTTGAAACATGGGACCCGGTTATCTTACATACCAGGCGAAACTCAAAAGCATAATGTTCCAGTTCTGTAGGGGTACGACAATAGTGTTAGTATCTATCAGTTATCTGTTTTCGTCCTTTAAGCTTGAGACCAGATTAAAGCCCGATTCCTATATTCAACGAACGGCCGTTCGTTACATAACTTCGTAACTTTCATAACCACTCGTTGTGACGACTTCATAATGATAATGTAACTAACGGCCGTCCGTTGAATATAGGAACCGGGCTTGAGACGAGCTTAAGACGATTTTGTGTAGTTTGTATTTCTGGATTGAGCACTGACGCTTATTTCCAGGGTCCGGGCGATCCTGTGCCCAAGTACTCGTTCGAGCTGACCACGAGCTTCTTCGATATCGACCCGGACGGCTTGCTCGTTGTGAGCGACGAGCATTTGGACCGGGACACACCGACTCTCGGCAACTTCAGGTTCCAAGTGAGTCGTGATTCCCCTTGCTTTTAATGGTTGAAACTGATAGATTCGAATTCTTCATTAAAATCTGGGCCATCTAAATATTGTCTACTTTGTATATTCTTAGATTCGAAGAGGTATTTTAATTCCCAAATAAATTATCATCTTACAGATTAGTTGCCAAATCCGTTGTACAAAATCTAGTTTAAAGCTAACTAAAAGCTAACTACTCACTTAGTAAATAATCTGACAGATTAGTATGGCAAATTCTTCATTAAAATCTGTGCTATCTAATTCTTGTAGGTGTCCATCCTGCCTTATGAATAGTGACAAAGACTATCTATCATGTTTTGAGATTTTGGGAATCTCTGTCATGATATAGGATTAAGGAAACCCTGTCATGTTATGGGATTTAGGAAACCCTGTCATGTTATGGGATTTAGGAAATTCCTTTCATGTTATGGGATATAGGCAATCCGTCATATCTCATATAAATGGATTATTATTATATCCAATTTTTTTGGCTAGGTCGTGGCCCGGGAGTCGAACGGTGCCGCCTCAGCGCCCCTCTCGCTCACCGTCCAGCTACTCGACGTGAATGACAACGCACCGATAATACCAAAGACGCAACCCATCACCGTTCCAGCCAGCCTGGAGCCCACTGCCGTTTACAAGGTACGCTATGTAGACCAGAGTCAGATAAAGCTCAACTCATTTGGAAAAGGAGGGGGATATGAGAAAAATGAAAGGGAAAATAAATTACGCGCGATCTGAGTTTTTAAGGGTTAAACACGGTTTATCTCGATTTCCGCCAAAACTACAAGGTCTATGGAAAAAAGTTTAATAGCAAAAAGTTATAGTTGAAAAGAAAAAAAGAACCAAGTTTTTGGTTTTGGTTTTTATTTTTATCTTCTAGAAAAATGTTTTTTTTTTTTACGAAATTTGGTGAAAACTTTCCTTTTTATATTCCAAATACACTGTAATTTATTTGATTTGAAATTTTTATTTTTTCACCTTATTTTGACTCAATACCGAAAAAGCACCCTTATTTTCTCGCGTCAAAATATCAGCTTTTTTTAAAAAGTTGGTGGGCTATTTGTTCATAAGGTCTAAGAAATATTCACATAAAATATAAACTTACTAAATAAAAAAAAATTACTGATTTAGATTAATCAATTAAAATAGTTTCATTCAGTAATGTATAGTATTCGCTTATACATAAGAAATATCTTGACATAACACTAATTGTTTAATTATAATTTTATTTTCGACGAACTTGATAGCCGTATGATTATTCTGTTCACCCCTCCAATGCAGTGCCTATATTATAAAACTAATATCTCGTATTTAGGTCGAAGCGACGGACATCGATGAAGGCGAGAACGCCCGCATCACTTACAGCATCTACCACGTGTCCAACAATGGCGGGAACAGGTTCACCATAGATCCCAATACTGGAATTATCTGTAAGTAAATTCTACTTATAATATACATCTTACTGTTCTCTTCAATATGTTCTTTCTCGGTGTGCCGTGATTCGGACAATTATTTATCAAATTAGATGATTCAAATACCATTTTAAAGTATCCATTCTGAGTGCAGAAGTGGCCATTTACTTTTTTTGAAGTTCTACTTCTTTTGGTGCGTTTGGCAAAGACTATTATGAGAGGAAAATTTTTACGATGCGCGTTCACACCGACAGCCAAGAAACGAAATGATAAAGTTGGTTGCAAGCCGTCCATCTTCGACCAACTTCACGGTAGTACCATGGCAACCAGGAAAATTTTTGCAGCAGAATTTGATCGCTCCAGGCTTTTTTAATCGGGGTTTTTATATTGTATTTAATGTATTAATGTCACACAATCTATCTCAAAAAATGGAAAAAAAAAATAGTCCGCTGAGTTTCTTTCGCCGTTTCTTCTCAGTTCAGTGCCTTTCTTTTCCGAACTCGATGGTAGTATATTGACTATCAATAAAAGACATTTGAATTAGAACCAATAACATAAATAAATCGATAATATACGATTTCATTACCCCGACCCCCTCATCCGCAGCTAGCACGGGCCGCCTGCAGGCGGGCGAGCAGTTCAGCGTGACCGTGCGCGCGATGGACGCGAAGGGGCTCAGCTCGCAGGGCATAGTGGAGCTGCTCGTGGCGCCGGGGCCGAACACGCGGCCGCCGCAGTTCACGGCGCGCGACTACTACGCGCCCGTCTCGGAGGGCGCGGCGATCAACTCCACAGTCACCACTGTCACGGTGCGTGTCGATAGTTAGGGGCTTACCAATGTCACGGTGGGTTCATTGTCGTTAATGAGGGGCTTACCACTCTCACGGTGGGATTGATTGTAGATAACGCCCTCGTTATCGACAATATGACAGTGGTAAGCCCCTGCTTACCACGGTGGGTTGATCGTCGATAACGAGGGGCTTACCACTGTCACGGTGGGTTGATTGTCGATAACGAGGGGCATACCACTGTCACGGTGGGTTGATTGTCGATAATGAGGGGCTTACCACTGTCACGGTGGATTGATTGTCGATAACGAGACTTACCATTGTCACGGTGGGTTGATTGTCGATAACGAGGGGCTTACCACTGTCACGGTGGGTTGGTTGTCGATAACGAGGGGCATGCCCATGCCACTGTCACGGTGGGTTGATTGTCACTAATGAGGAGCAATTTGTGTATGTGTATGTAAAACATTCTTACAACGCAGGATAATATTTTCTCACAATAAGGAAACTGTTTTTTAATAAAAACAATAAAATAATTACAGGCAAAGGATCCGGAGAACGAACAAGTGACGTATTCCATTGTATCGGGGAACGACCTTCGACAGTTCGGCATCGGATCCAACACTGGCGTCATAACGGTCATCAGACGCCTCGATAGAGAAGTCCTCACCAGATATCAGTTGGTGAGCATACATTTTAAGTGATTGGTCGTCGTGATAGATAGATCAGTGTCTGGGCAATCGCTTTTATTTCATTATGCTCGAGCAACCCGAGTTCAAATCCCGATGACCAATGAAATTGTTAATTTTAAATAATTACCAAAAAAAAATTCTCAGATATGTGAAGTTTTCCAATCCACAGCATTTAACTGTGTTAGGGCCACGCAGTAGCCTCGGCCGTTGCACGAATGGGCAGGCTCGTCCGGGTAAGTACCACGAACTCACAGAAGACATATGTAATACATTCGCGTTTGGTCTGGTGAGTGAGGCATCTGCAAACCCTCGCGTGTAGCAGATGTCCATGGGCGGCGATATTCATTTAACATCAGTTGAACCGCCTGCTTGCTTGACAACTTTTCAAACAAAATAAAAGTATGATGTATAGGCTGACACTTTACTTTTAGTCGCTTGATCGAAACTTATAAGTTTGACCCGATCGGCGTAGTAGATAGTACACTTGTGTCTTACGTCAGAGGGCGTGAGTTCGATCTCTATTACTAAAAAAATAACGTGTGATGAACATAGTGTTTTTTCAGTCTCCGGGTGTTTAAATATCTGTCTTTGTCTACAAAAGAAAAGTATGTTTAGCAGTTATAGTATATGCTATAATACCTTTAGAACAAATTTAAAACTGTATTCTAACTTAATATTGATAAGATTCTCACAAAATAGTCAAAATTAAATGTTAGTGTGATGCAACGAAATAAAGGACCAACACGCATGATAGTTTCGAATCAACACGAAGAAAAAGTACTATATAAGTATTGGTGATTGCAAAGAAATATACAATTACTATTGTAGATGGTGAAAGCTGAAGATCCCGGCAAACTAGCGAGCACGGCAACAGTAAACATCAAAGTGACAGACATCAACGACAACAATCCAAAGTTCGACGAGGATTCCTACACGTTCAAAGTCAGAGAAGGTAATTGTTTGAATTATCAGGCTTAACCGTTTATAATCTCTTTATTTATTATCATTTTCGGTGAATAGAAGCCAAAAAAATTATTTTAAAATTAATAAACTCTAAAATTTAAATATGAATTAGACTAATTATTGAATACAAATGCAACACAGTCGGTATTGATAAAACATTTTCATTACGTCAGTGCTGTGAGTAGCGTCATGATCATAAACAAAGTTTAATCTCATACTGTGTCTAATATTTTAATTGATTAACAAAGCTAAGCATAAGAAAATGCAGCTAGCGCTCTCGCACTATGCCGCGTGGTATGCTTTATTAGATAACATGTAATTTTACTAACCAGTCATAACAAGCAACATACATTTGTTAAATAAAATGTATGTTGCTTGGGTATAAATGAACATATGTCCAGGTGTATCTGGAGAAGTGGTGGGCTACGTCCACGCGACAGATAGCGACGAAGGCATCAACGCTCTGGTCAGCTACAGCATCCCTAATCATCTGCCGTTCTCGATCGACAACGCCACCGGGATGATAAGCACCAACACCGAACTCGACTACGAGGAGATAAAGGTACGATCTCTATATAAATCTATAAAATATATATATATCTATAAAAATCCAAAAAAGCTCTTTTTTTCCTAAATACTCGGTGGCGCCGTTGCTAAGCTATTTGCTTCGGGTTCGATTCCCACACGGGAAAAGTATTTGTGTACCACAGATAGCTGTTCCGGATCTGGGTGTTTGTCTCCCAAGGAGAGTTGACGTTAGGTAGGCGGCTGGACGTAAAAAACCTAGCCAAAACCGCTGCACATGATTCACATGTTGTGCCGACCCGCTGACGTTCATCTGTCGTTCGAATTATCGTTTTAAAACGATATTTGAAATTATTTGTGTCGTAAAGGACAACAATAGACGCGTCAAATATTACTTAAAATGCTAAAATCAATGTAGATAAAATACGTTGAGATTTTCTTACTTGACTTCCTACCACCGACTCCATGATTTAATTAAATCACTAAAGGGAACTCTTTGTCTTGTGCCGAGTCCAATGCAAATTAAACGCAAACAACTGGCTTTTTTTATTGTTTTTTTTTTTTAATATAAGCGTGTTTTTTTTATACGACATACAATTTTTTCATTCGCCAAATTTAACATAATTGCCACTTGAGTAACAAAATAAAATTAGCACAGGATACGCTTGAAGTTAAAAATAATTAAAAATAATGGCGCCGCCAGGAGTACGCGTTCGTGGTGACCGCCACCGACGGCGCGCTCGACCGGCGGCTGGGCACCGCGTCCGTGGCGGTGCTGGTGCAGGACGTGGCCGACGAGCCGCCGCGCTTCCCCCTGCCCGTTTACACGGCGCAGGTGCCCGAGAACGAGCAGGGGCACCCCGTGATCCAAGTCCGCGTGAGTGCCGCCCCCTGGAGGGGAGAGTCACCTGCCCACGTTTGATCCGCGAATCCCCACCCGAGCTATACTGTGCGCGCGCCCGAGAATGAGCAGGGGCACCCCGTGCTGCAAGTCCGCGTGAGTGCCGCCCCCTGGAGGGGAGAGTCGCCTGCCCACGTTTAATCCGCGAATCCCCACCCGAGCTATACTGTGCGCGTGCCCGAGAATGAGCAGGGGCACCCCGTGCTGCAAGTCCGCGTGAGTGCCGCCCCCTGGAGGGGAGAGTTTCACCTGCCCACGTTTATTCCGCGAGTCCCCACCCGAGCTATACTGTGCGCGTGCCCGAGAATGAGCAGGGGCACCCCGTGCTGCAAGTCCGCGTGAGTTCCGCCCCCTGGAGGGGAGAGTCACCTGGCCACGTTTAATCCGCGTATCCCCACCCGAGCTATACTGTGCGCGTGCCCGAGAATGAGCAGGGGCACCCCGTGCTGCAAGTCCGCTTGAGTGCCGCCCCCCGGAGGGGAGAGTTTCACCTGCCCACGTTTAATCCGCGAATCCCCACCCGAGCTATACTGTGCGCGCGCCCGAGAATGAGCAGGGGCACCCCGTGCTGCAAGTGCGCGTGAGTGCCGCCCCTTGGAGGGTAGAATTTCGCTTGCCCACGTATAGTCCGTGCTTCATTACGAGAACTGAATCGCGCGTGTGCCTGAAAACGCGCAAGAGGTACCCCCTGCTGTAAGTCCGTGTAATTGCTGCCCCCTGGAGCGAAAAGTTGCCAGCTGATCACGTACAATATTTTCCTCCTGAGCAATTATACTACTTTATATAATTCTATTCAATTTGTCATCTTCCCCTTTATTGTCCTTGACGTATAAGATCACGAGTCCTCCTCTTCAGCAACTAAGCTACATTTATATAACAATACAATACTTCTAACCGCAGTGGTTGTTTTCAAAGTACGGCAAACGGCCAATCGTTACTGTATAAAAATAACGATTGATGCATCCAAATACGTTATAAATCATGCAACTTCATGCAGGCCGAGGACCCGGACACGACACAGGAGATCACGTACACCATCATCAGCGGAGATCTGGACCTGTTCACGATAGACAGGAAGAGCGGACTGATCAGGACCGCGAAGCCCCTGGACAGGGAGGTCAGCGCCCGTCACGAGCTCGTCATCGGCACAGAAGAGAACAGCAGCGAGGGTCCAGGCGCTACCACCACCGTCGAAGTCATAGTCGAGGTGAGTGACACGGTTCAGAAATTGTTTAAGTTTTCTCTAGACTCGAGATTGTGGCAGTACTTTTATGCGAATGCGCTACGTCCGGTCTAAGTTTCAATTATACCAAGTTAGATATTCTTCATATTTACCGCACGATAACTATGCGCTCTCAACCGCTATGTCAATAGACATTCTTTGGATTATTTGCAAAACGTATCGTTACTTTATTTTGCACGACCGCAGGACAAGAACGACAACGCGCCGGTGTTCACTCTAGCTGCGCGGCCAGTGACGATAGACGACACGTCGCCGATCGGCACGCTGGTGGTGACCGCCACGGCGGCCGACGCGGACGCCAGCGCGCCCAACAACCGCGTGCGCTTCGCGCTGGCGGGGCGCGGCAAGGCCTCTCTGTACTTCCACGTGGAGCCCGACACGGGCGCGGTGCGGGTGCGGGACGACCTGCGCAAGGAGGCCGACAGCGAGTACACGGTGAGGCGATGTATTTGATGTACTACGGTAGACAGCGAGTACACGGTGCGGCGATGTATTTGATGTACTACGGTAGACAGCGAGTACACGGTGAGGCGATGTATTTGATGTACTACGGTAGACAGCGAGTACACGGTGAGGCGATGTATTTGATGTACTACGGTAGACAGCGAGTACACGGTGAGGCGATGTATTTGATGTACTACGGTAGACAGCGAGTACACGGTGAGGCGATGTATTTGATGTACTACGGTAGACAGCGAGTACACGGTGAGGCGATGTATTTGATGTACTACGGTAGACAGCGAGTACACGGTGAGGCGATGTATTTGGATGTACTACGGTAGACAGCGAGTACACGGTGAGGCGATGTATTTGATGTACTATGGTAGACGAGCGAGTACACGGTACACGGTGAGGCGATGTATTTGATGTACTACGGTAGACGGTAGACAGCGAGTACACGGTGAGGCGATGTATTTGATGTACTACGGTAGACAGCGAGTACACGGTGAGGCGATGTATTTGATGTACTACGGTAGACAGCGAGTACACGGTGCGGCGATGTATTTGATAAACTATGGTAGAGAGCGAGTACACGGTGAAGCGACGTGACTAACAGACTAACCTTCGACTCGCAAGAATAATAATTCAATACATAAAGTCTCGATCTGAGGTTTTTTGTACCGGTAGTTTCTAAACTTTCTTGTGGCTTGGCGGTTATGCAGTCACTGTATCCAACGTATCCTTCGAAATGATTCCATGTAAGAAATGTCATAAACTAACTGATTTTCAATTATAGTGTGATCGATAATATGGTGTAATTTCACGTACGAAAGTTTACTTGTAGCTGATATTATCTTAAAACTTTTTTAAATAATTTTGAAACGCATTTAAAAAATTAAACGTTAAAACTTTTTTTTTACTATTTTATAGGTTGATGTGCAAGCTTACGACCAAGGTGATCCGGTGATGTCTTCAGTATTGAGCCTGACGATATACGTTAGCCACTCCGCTACTGTCCCGCCAGACGTAAGTGTTTGTGTTTTTTTAATAATTATTTATTTATATATATTTAACGACTTTTGGAATTATTTAATTATTACGTATTAGTAGGCAGGTCGTATTCATAAAGATTCGAAGGACTGTTTATGATGTTCTTATTAGCTCGTTACTTAATAAAACAGCGGGTTTGGAAGGATCATGAAACTAGATAAACGTAAAGAATACACTAAGAAGAATAACAAAGGCAAATACAGTGATGATTCAGAGGCATGTACTAAAAGATGGTAAAGAGTAGGTACGCAAGTAGGGTTGTCAAAAGAGTATTTACAAAGTATGTGCTTAAAACGACTGTACGCGAATCTTGAAGACGTAAATTCGATTCTCGAAGCGGCGATAAACTTTTCGTTCTCGAACTGTTTAACTCACTTTTTCTACAAGTTTTAATACAATAGATCTTTCTAGGTCGCAGTGGTCGTTGGGATTCAATAACTAACCCCTAACACAAAATACAATAAAATACATGTCCTAATACCCACTGTAAATAAACCGGCTGTTACTTTTTACGATGGATTCCATAAATAATATCCTTACTATCCTTACTTCCTTCCTTAATATTATAAACGCGATAGTGTACTACCCAATAATACTACCGCATGAATTTTAATGAAACTTTACAATAATATAGCTTATACATCAGAATAACACATAGGCTATAATTTAAACACATTTTTTTATGTATATCTTTCTGTCTGAATGTTACGCCTTCAGCCTATTCCAGACGCAGTCGCGGGCAGCAGCTAGTCACTAATACAACTCGTTGAACCCACAGGTGGGGCTCGGTTTCGCAGACACACTTTACACAGAACACGTCGCGGAGAACTCCCGAAACGGGACCCTCGTCAGGGTGCTGCCTCTGCTGAACAAGAGGGAACACTCCCCGGACACGCCCCTCAAGTGCCGTCTGACCGACACGTCGCAAAAAGGTAACAAATACTCAAATTCAAATATATTTATTCAATATAGAAGAAAGAAAGAAAGATATGTTTATTTGTTAGAACATAGTATACAGGTCTTAAAAGTTGTGCCGTCCCTTATGTTCTACCATTTCTGGTGTACAAACAAGGTGTATAGAATCTCACGGAAAAGCCACTGACCTGAGAAGTACCGGCGAATGAAACTCAGCGGGACATTTTTTTTAACGTAATTTGACAAAAAAATAACAAACATGTGTACAATATATTATATTCCACTTGAAAGAGCCTGGAGAAATTCATTTCCAGAGAGTTTTATCCTTCAAATAATGACTTATACTATAATAGCCAAAAACACACAAATTGACATTAGTTAAGGCATTGCTAAATATGTAATGAAAAAAAAAATCAAGAAGATGTTGATTTTCGCGCGGTGAGCATATCGACCGCTTAGTGGCTCGAGCGTCTGGACGATGAAACGACGGCGTTGGTTCGTATCCTGGCAGAGGTGAAAAGTTTTTCGATAATTCTATCTATACACTATCGCGTGTCATCTGGAGTGCGACTAGCACTAAAATCATAAATTAAATTAAAATTATTCCGATCCTTAAAATGGATATCGAGTCTCACGTGTAATTAATTATATTTACGAATATTAAACGGAACATTTCTTACTGATTCGTCCGAGTCCCTTCGCTAAAATATTCGAAACATTGGTAATCTAGGTTTAAAAGAAAGCAATAAATCTGTAAAAATAGTTTATTTCACATGCAGTCTTATGAAGACAAACTTTTTATCCTCTACTAGCACTATAAAAATTAATATGATAATAGCGTATTTTTATAATGTATTTTAAATCTCCTCAATACATTTAAACAAATATTGAGTTAAACGTTAACTCCAGGAGTCTTCTACGTGAGGCTCACCGAAGAGAGGGACTGCGCCATCTACCTGAACACCAGCTCGCTGGACTACGAGGCCCTGACGGAGTATTCGCTGGAGGTCCAATTGGAGTCGATACGAGGCCTCATCAACCCCGACGCCAGCAGGGCGGTGGTGAAGGTACACGTCACGGACGCCAACGACAACACGCCCGCCTTCGTCTTCCCCGAGCAGTCCACCATCCCCAACGCCAGCGGGAAGTACTTCGCCATTGCCACTAAGGAGATGCTGCTCGGCACCAACTTGCTGCAAGTCAAGGTGAGCTCGTCCATTGAGAGTTCTTTGGACACTGTTAAGAGGCGTCTGCCCTACGGGTGTAGCCATTGTCCGTGGGCGGCGGTCATCACTTAACATCAGGCAACTATGTAACGGAATTTCGTAACGATGGGAACTATCCCAAATGGAACACGGTGTAGTTCCCATCAATACCGATGAACGAACATGAATACATACACGGGACTATTGGGACAGGAATATTGAACCATTTTGAGATATCTTACTGTTTCTTTTTGTTTTATACAAGTATTATAAACGTCAAAGTTTCTTGTTACCTCTTCATACTGCACTAGCTGAAGATATGGAAAAAATACTTAAATATTTAAGTGTGAAATTTACATAATTGTATATAATACCTATTATTACACTACAGAGTAAAAAGTTACTTATAAATTACTTAATACTACTATTATAAATGTTAATATTTCTCGTTCCATCTTCATACTGCACTAGCTGAAGACATGAAAAAATACTTAAATATTTATAAACTAACATGTAATAGCTATTTCAGTACATGCGAGTAAGAAGTTGCTCATAAATGAGACTCAAATTTGTACCTTTGGCACACCTTATTAGGAGGTGGCAACTCATCTGCAACCCATCTGGTGTTGCAAATGTCCATGGGCAGGTGGTTATAACTCGACATCAAGTGAACCGCCAGCTCGTTTGGCTCTTTCTCACATAAAAAAAAACCCGAATGCTTTCCAGGCGAAAGACAAAGACAGCGGCGACTACGGCAAAATCGAGTACCAGAAGAACTCCTGGAGCAAAGCGGCCGAGGAGTACTTCAGCCTGGACCCGGACACCGGCGTGGTGAGCAACACGAAGACCTTCGAGAACGTTCCAACGGAACTGCTGCCGTTCAAGTTCAGCGTGACCGCGAGGGACAACCCCAACTCGCCGCAGGACTACAATGTTGCCAGAGCGTCGGTTGTGGTAAGTTTAATACATGTGACGATGAACTTCTTTTAAAGATCTATGCCCACTGCATAGATCTTTTCAATATTCTTTCACGATAGTCCAGCGAAACTGGATTTAAAAATGACTATGCTCCATAAATATATTTTTTTTCCTGTGTAAAGGCTAGAACTCCGATAAAATTTGCACGCTCCGAAAGAGGTGTATTTAGAATTTCAGACATTCAATCGAAATAACTCGCTTCAATAATCATATAGTATTGAAAATTACGAACTTAAAAGATATAAAAGTCTCTTGCAAAATGAGAATAAAAAAGCATCATTTCTGGCTTTTTGAGTCCACTACTGAACATAGGCCTCCCCCAGACTGCCACGAACCACGAACTAGAGCCACCTGCATCCATCGAATTCATGCACTTAAGCACAGGTCGTCTATCTAGTGTAAGGTCATCCCACGCTGCAATGGCCAGTACGAGGCTGCCGACCGTGAACCTTTCTTCCCCAAAAAAAAAAAAAGAAAACATGATATCCATAAATCTTACTGTATACTATTCTTTATCTGTTTGTAAAAATACAAAAAAACTCACCACTTGCTACTTTTCTATTTCAGATAAACTTACTGCAGAAAGACAACCAGCTGGTGCTGGAGGTGGCCGATATGGACGCGGACTCAATGCGGAGGCGGGCGCGTAGTCTCCTCGCTGCGATCGAGGAGAAGACTGGCCTGGTCGCTGGCCTGGAGAAGTTGACTTCCCGCCACTTTTTGGGGGTCAACGGGACCCTTGAAAGCGACCCTAAGGGCACCGACGTCTGGCTGTACCTGGTCGAGCCGAGCACGGGCAGCATACTAACGAGGGACTCCGACGCCGTCAAGAAGTTAGTATGGATCGATGATCGAAAAGTTGGCGTTTTGGTGTGAATCTAGTACGATTTAGGATTGGGGTTGTGCCATGTAGTCATTCGTGAAAGAAAACTTGCCTCAGATACGAACTCAGTAAGAATAATTTATGGTTTGGTTATAACCGGATCTAACACAGTTAAACATTCACTAGGACAATATAGAGGCGCGTATATCCCTCTTTCTAATTTGTAACGATTTACAAATTAAGTTAAGCATTCACATTCATTAGAAGCAGGGTGTACCGTCATCTCTCATCACATCTAGTTAGTAACAGATTTAAATAAAGTGACACGCACACCAGTTTCATTAAGAGCAAGGTGTATGGAATACTTTCCTCTGAAACTGAAAATAAGGCATACTGTAAAAACTGTAGCGGGGGGCTTCAGATAGCAGCAGGGCTTAATAAAGCGGCGCACTCACCGGGGTGGTCGGAAGTACCGTGTACGTCGCTCTCTAATCAGCGGCATGGCTTATTAAAGCATCACACTCACCAAGGTGGTCAAAGGCGACGCATACCATATCTCTCATGTACAGTTAAAGTCTGTATACACTCATCAGGGCATTGGGAGCGTATACTACATTTCTCTAACGAATTTTGATAGCGGTTTGGAATCAAACTGGCACACTCATTAGATCGATCGACTGCGGCGTGTACCAGCCCACGCACACCGATTATTTCTATATAAAGTTATACGCACACCGAGGCAATTGGGAGAGTTTCTACCGGGTTTGTAGATAAGCGGCACACACCTCCAGGGCGATAGAGGGCAGCATGAACCAGGCCGCGCACACAAATTATCTCTATAGTTAAGTTCTATATAAAGTTATACACACACCGAAGTGATCGGGTGTCTCTACCGGGCTTATAGCTAAAGCGGCACACCCACCAGGGCGATCGAGGGTGGCGTTCACTAGGCGGTGGCGGCGCATATCTCTATAGTTAAGATCTATATAAAGTTACACACCCACCAGGGCGATCGAGGGTGGCGTTTACTAGGCGGTGGCGGCGCATATCTCTATAGTTAAGATCTATATAAAGTTACACACCCACCAGGGCGATCGAGGGTGGCGTTCACTAGGCGGTGGCGGCGCATATCTATAGTTAAGATCTATATAAAGTTATACACCCACCAGGGCGATCGAGGGTGGCGTTCACTAGGCGGTGGCGGCGCATATCTATAGTTAAGATCTATATAAAGTTACACATCCACCAGGGCGATCGAGGGTGGCGTTCACTAGGCGGTGGCGGCGCATATCTATAGTTAAGATCTATATAAAGTTATACAGACACTGGGGCAATCGGGAGACTCTAACTAAAGCGGCTTACCCACCAGGGCGATCGAGGGCGGCGTACACCGCGCGGTGGCGGCGCGGCTGCAGGCGCCCGTGAGCGAGGTGCGCGCCCCGCTGGCGGCGAGCGAGCCGCCGCGGCGCACGCACGCCGCCGCCGCGCCGCTCGCGAGCGCGCTGCCCGCCGCGCTGCTGGCGCTCGCCGCGCTCGTGCTGGTCGCCGCCACCGCGGCCACCGTCTACATATGCGCTTCGTGGAACAGGTCAGTCGGGTCAACGACCTCTGGCTAGCAACGAGCTGTGCGCCGGGCCTAGCAGGACAGATTTGCTGGTGGAACGTGTCAGTGGGCTTTAGCGCGGTCGGTGACCTCTGCCGCAACAACGGCTATGGTAGGGCAGGTTCGTGGAATGTGTCGGTGGGCTTCGACGCGGGTCAACGCCTCATGCAGCTGGCGGCGTCGGGCCCAGCAGGGCGGATTTGCCTTGTCGAACATATGACATGGCGCGAGTCGGTGACCCCGTCCGGCTGGAGGCATCGGGCCTGGTAGGACAGATTCGCTTTGTGGAACGTGTAAGTGGGCTGTGGTGCGGGTCAATGACCTCTAACAGCTGGCGGCATCGGTTCTAGCAAGGCGGATTCGCCTCGTGGAACGTTGGTCAATGACCTCGTTCAGCTGGCGGCATTGTTCTAGTAGGGCAGGACGTTTCAGTGGGTTTTGGGGCGGATCAATGACCTCGTCAAGTTGGCGGCATCAGTTCTAGTAGTTCAAATTTGCATCGCGGAATGTGCGAACTTATTTTCTTGAAGATCGCAAAAGAAATTTATCAATGTCGTGTGTATGTTAACTTAAGAAATTCGTGTGTAAACCGTTGTGTACATAAAACCATCAGGTACAAGAAGCACAAGGAGCAAGCGATCCAACAGTACGGCACCCTCAGTATGAGCATGCCGCCTCCTCGGCCGCCCTCCGGCTACGAATCCAGCGAGGACGAGCCTGCGCCGAGATACGAGACTCAGGTGCGTTGGGTAAAAATTTAGTTCGATAGCATCAAGCTTAATGATAGGGTCTCGGTAGATAGGATCAAGAAAAAGCTGTAGCAACTCAATAGTTATTTTACGTATCCGAAAGTTTTAGGGTCAATTTAAAATCGATTGCAGAAAATGTCGTCCGCAAGCAAAAATAATTATAAAATATTAAAATTGTGTTTTTAGGTAAAGTACAAATTAATCAATATGTTATCAAAAGAAAAACGGATTTGTTATTTGTTTTAAACACTTTTTTTATTAGGTAACAGAGTAGTAATTCATAGAAACACAGGTGTTTTACATACAAGAAAATTCTGTCCCACATCTCATGGCACTATGCAAAAATCACAATCTTTTTATTAAATTTTATTATTGTTTTGTTTAATGTTTATCACTATCCCTGCCTATTTAACTTACGTCACATAGTAGGAGTATTGTTTTAATTAAAAAGGAAAACACTTTTCTTGGAGATGATTATACATGCCAAGCCTTGAGATATCCTCGATTTGATGATGGAAGTCCAGTTATTCGCTCACCAAGAAACATGGTGTGGAAAATGGGTTGAAGACCAAAGCGGACAGCCCCATCAAGCTCGTGGGTTGTGTCTAGACCACGAGTTCTGCGTTCGATGAAGCTCTAAATCTGAATAGAAGAAAAAACATCAGTGAAAGTGAAGTAGATTAATAGTGCTCCCCAATTCTGTCGTTACATTTTCAAATATTGGTATTAACTTTTTACCTCTTACACCGTAAGTGCTTGTTTCAGGTTTTGAACATGGCTGTAGACGACGCCGATCTCCAGTTGGACTTCAGCCCGAACAACCACGCGTTCAACATTCACAGCGTACAATATCTCTCCAAAGATAACGGTAACCCAATCATCATCATCTTCTTCATCATCAACATCATCTTCATCATCATCATCATTATTATCATTTCAGCCTGTTTGAGTATAGTACTTAACATAGGTCTTCCCCACAGACTGCCACGAAGCACAATCCTGTACCAATAATAACCCCTAATATTTATAATTAGGTATTACGTTCAGTTTGACCGTAAAAGTAATGGTACATTATAACGAAATATAATCTATTCTTCATCACAGCATATATTAACATTCCTAATTTCGTTCTCATCCATTCCAACTTTGCATTTGAATATTGATTCATTTCAATTAATAATTTTATGGCGATAGTGAACAAATAGGTAATGTAACTGACGTTGATTAACATCGCTTATAAATAATAATAAAATCAGTCGAGTTAACTTAATCGTTAAGGAGATTTTGTGCTTAGGTTTTGTTACATGAGAGAAAGATAACGGAGAGAGAGAGAGCGATGTATGGGTACATTATACCTAACGATATATTACAGCTACGCTTGCGCGCGTTGGAGTTTAGACACTATATATGAACAGCTGATGTACCAAGCATGTAATTAGGTATATGCCATCGTTCTTTGTAATTATGCACGTTCGTTTGGAAGTTTCACTTTCTTTATTTGAATTTGGAACGGCCAACGTTTGATTGTGATTATTACTCGCAGGCGAGCTTTGAATTTGAAACAAACATCTTGCCAATATTGCTCACGGGCAAGCTTTGAATTTGGAACAAGCAAATTGTGATTTTCTACTAATGTTCGGAGTTTTGAATTCGGAACGCACATTGTAAACATCACCCGCGGCCGAAATTTGAATTTAGAACGAACGAACCGTCGTTACCACTTGCAGGCGAGCGCAGCCCCACCCTGTCCGAGACGGCGACCACCGCGCGCGCGTCGTCCGTCAACGAGAACGCGGCGACGCTGAACAACCAGCCGCCCGAGGGCGCGTCCATTGCGCGCAACACCCAAACGCTCAACCGGCGGACGCCCAACGCGCACGCATTGAACAACGCGCTCGGCACTTTGCCGCGCACCAACGCCGGCCTGCTAGCGGCGACGCTCGGCAGGAAGGCGAACACGGCCAACCACAAGAAGAAGGCCTCGCCGATAATGGCCTACGACGAGATACCCGGCCTGCAGAGGTGAGTTGCTAAACACAATGATCAGTGAGGTGTACGCTATTGTAAATATAACTCATATATGCCACTGTTATAGACACATGTACACATATAAATAGCGATATGGAAGATGGCAAGCGATGCTTCACCTGATGTTAAGTGATAACCGCCGCCCACGGACATTTGCACCGCGACACGGAGTTGGGTCATATTTTTTTTATTTTTGTTATTCAAAAAAATGTACAAAGATATATACTGACATAGCTATTCTCGCCGAACTTTCACGTTTGATGGCGAGACACGCTCGTTTTTCATCGTTTTTATCTTTTTTTTAAAAAATCACTAGGATATTAGTTTATTTTTGTTTTTAGTACTAGTATCTGCGGTCGGAATGAAATTTAAAACGTAAATTTATTATGTAGATAAAACGAACCAAAACTTTCGGCGAGGTGGGATTCGAACGTTTGGCCACGCAAACGTCAGTTCCGTGTGGGAATCGCGTACCACGACCCCCGATGGGAATTCAATTTCTGAGCAACTGCACCAACGCGTTATCACATGATCGGATCACTCAGATGTCTGTCCTCTGTGGGAATTGAACCCACGACCCTTGATGCATATTCCAATTGCTTAGCGACTGCGCCAACGAGTTGTCACATGATCGAGCCGAGTCATGTTTGTCCGTTTGTTTGTTTATCTGCTGTCGTCACTTTCCATGTTGAAACGCAAAGGTTCGCCACATTTGTGTAAAAAAAGTAAAGTAACAGCCTGTACATGTCCCACTGCTGGGAAAAGGCCCCCTCTATACAGGGGGTATCAGGGCATAGTCCACCACGCGGTCCCACTGCGGATTGGCGGACTTCACATATCTTCGAAAAATATTTTTTTTTGTTATTATTTCGAAAATATGCAGGTTTCCTCACGATGATTCCGAGCGGACTTCACAGCGCCGCCTATCTTCGAAAAATATTTTTTTTTGTTATTTTTATTTCGTAAATATGCAGGTTTCCTCACGATAGTTTTAGTTTCCTTCGAGATTATAAATATTTTAACTTTAATGAGGAAAGTGAGCACGTGATAAGTCATAAGTCAGCACTTAAAGCTAAAAACTTCATTGGTGCCGGCACCGGGGATCGAACTCAGGTTGCTCGAGTATATTGAATTAAAGGCGAGCGCCCGGATACTGCGGCTATCACTATTTGTGTAATTCTGTATTATATGTGCTAACAAACATTGATTTTATATTATTAGATATACACGTATCAGAAGAATATAATAAGAACAGTTACAACTTGTGTGGGCCGAAATTACCACGTTCGTTTATATTATAAATAATACCGTTTAATTTATGGTAAACTTTTCTGAATTGAAAAAGCCTTTTTCTGTTTTTAATTATTTTTATTTTATTCATCTTCTCGACTGTAAATCATCTATTTTATTATCTTAGAATCGGCTATTTTATTTTATTTAATTAACAAAGTACCGATTGGAGTTTGAGGCCTTATCTGTGATTATCTCCCTGTGCTGTTCGTGTCATAATATAACGCATCGCATGAAATAACAAACTCTTTATATAGAGGAAAAAACTCCTTACGTTAAGCCGATATGGCAAACAGTTTTGTTGTGAGGCTTAAAGTAACTCAATTAAATGAAACAACATTTCTTTCCTTGAGTTGAGGTAATTTTCGCAATTGTTTTATCTAATTACAATAAACATTCTAAAAACTGATATTATTTTTTAAATAAATTGATACACCCTTTTTTCAATGGCATAATAAAAGGATAATGGAATGTGCCGTTATCCAAATTTAGCGTTAGATACCAGAAACGTTAAGTCAAAAACAACGTCTATTACTTTCGAAAACTTTTAAATTCCTTTTTACCGAATATTACCTAATAATACTGCGAAATAATATAGTTACAGATTACTAAATTCCCTATCCATTGTTTTGTATGTTCGAAAGCGAACAATAATGTATCGTACAAGGGCTTTGGTATTCCAATAAATCACGTCCCTACACATTAATACCGAAACGTATTAATTTGATCATTTTCTAGTTTTCCATTCGCTTTCGTATCGACTGCTGTTGATCTATTGTTCGGCGTACAATGGGGAAACGCAATACACTAGACTCTATATAAATTATCGAAATGTGATTAAATTTTATACGCGCACGAATGTACCGGTTATGTTATGAGTTATTGTCGTAAATCCATTCTGTTTGATTACCTTACTCGTATAACGTAGATTGGCATTATACTTACTTCCAACTAACCTAATAGCGACATAGCGGCTAAATAAGTCATTGTATTGTAAAATGAATAAGGTTTAATTACTGAAATAGTAGAACGACGTAGAAAAAAATGTTTACAGTCTTACGCCCGGTTTCTGAAACAGTGACCATCGTAATTTAACTAATATAGAGAATAACAATAATATAGAAAGAGATAACAATCTACGACGAAATTAGCCGATTGTCTCTTTTCAAAGGGAGATTTGCAATATTTATCGCCGAGTACCTACTGTAACGCATTTTGGGAAACAAAATAGATTTTATAAATAAGTACATTTTAATTGTACTGACGATACTTTTGGTTAATGGACCATGGTAACAGATAAATTCAAAATATAATTATAGGAATATCTGGTATCATATAATAAATTCAAAATATAATTATAGGAATATCTGGGTGCACTGAACACATTTCCAGCTACCTTCAATCACCTATTTTCTCACCAGGTTAGCTGGCAGAGAACTCACATATTGAGTTAAGCTTACCTTTTGTACATTATTTTCATTTTCTTTATTTTTTTTGTATCCTGTGTTTTGTGTACAATAAATATATAAATAAATAAATTCAAAATATGGCTTAGTAATTTAGGAGGCTAACTTTTAAGATTATTTTTTGTATCATAACTTAGGCCTAATATCTTTAACTAATTGAGTAGCCTTTCATTGAATACCAGCTATTTTTACTTTTAACTGACATTAACAGAAATGTGATGATCATGCTAACAGATAAAACAATACAAAATCTTAATTGGTAATTAGGAGACCAAGTTTAGCGATGCTAATGTAAGTCTATATATGTCCCACTGCTGGGCAAAAGCCTCATGTGCACTGAGGTTATAATGGCATAGTCTATCACGCAACCCCAGCGGAGATTGGCAGACTACAGATACCTTGGAAATATTGTTCTTTTATTCTTATTTGAAAATATACAAGTTTCGTCCATCACGGATGAGCACGTGATGAATTGACACTTGTAATTAGGTAACAATTTCATTAGTGGAGATGAATTTGGAACACCGAATTCTTTCTAATATGTTACAACTTCTACCGATATAGCTTACTAGATAATGCAGCGACGACTATTCTATTAATATAATTGGCCAACAAGTAAATGATTCTGATATCTCTTACAGGGCCTCGGAAAATGACAACGTCACTTTCGGCAAGAGGAACTTCACCGGCTTCAATTACAACCAATCGCCCGTTGAAACCACCACGGAGCTATAGTGAGCCGGCAGTGTATAAATAACATTAGCAGAGACCCGGACAATTAAGTGGAATGAATGCGAACAAAGTGATATTACCCCCCGTCCCGTGTAGCGGCGTGTGTTCAACGAATGTTTATATTTTTGTAGGATTATACCGGAATGGCACGGTACTGCTGTACCGTTTTATGTTTCAATAACGAATTTTTAGGTAATTTTACACTTAGCGTAGTACTTAGCGCGCCTAGTCCTTACCACTGAAGAGCGAACACGTTCATAATATCGATTTTTGTAAATAATAGAGGCATTATATTTGTACATTGAATATATTTTGTATGAATGTGTTAGGCTGTATCGATGAGCGTAGAAACTTGTTGCTCTTTGTATTTTTTTCTCATTAATGGCGGGAAAATTTTTAACTAAGGATTTTTTTCAATCTATTCTAATATCGGTAGTATCGGTTTTTGATGCCAAATGAGTAATTATAAACACCACTTTAGTTTATCGATATCCAAATGCTTTAAATAAGCAGTGAACATTTTTTTATTTAAAAATTAATAAATGCTTTTATATAATATCAATGACCTGTCAAGGTCTGATAAAAGACAGTTATAATAATTACTACGGCTTTCGTAGCTCATCGAGCATTTTTGATAAGGCTTGAATGTAACATAACATAGTATCAATTAAATTTCATCGGATAAATATATATAACTGCAAACGTAAATTACTTTCCAGATCTGTTTTCCCTTGTTATGTTTTGTATGAATTATGTGCCAGTTACTTTAAAACTTTAGTGTTTAACGATATACGAAATAATATTTTTTTTAACCTAGCATAATAAAATGAGTGCTCATGTTTATATTAACACTTTGTAGAAAATCGGCCCCTGAAAAAAAAATTTGTGCCAAAAGCCATTTAGAAGATTTTACTGCATCTCTTATTATTTATTTTAATTCGGATTGGTCGGAAGTAAATGTTACCTAATATTTACGTTCTTATGTAAATTACTTGTAAATTTTTTTATATTATCATAATTTTTATTACATTGTGCAAAAGTGTACTATATTTGTTAATAGAATTTTTCCCGAATAAATTAATGTTTATTATCAATTTTCTGTTGTTTATTTCGTCATGGTGACACCCCATACAGTAAAGTGAGGTAATGGTGTGTCAAATCCCATTACAAGACATCAAATACAATCATGTGATATGTGATATGTGACCACACAAAAGCAAATAAATATCGAAAGCGACATAATACGCGAGTGATATTTTTTTACGGATTTCAAGATTTCTTTGATTTTACAAGAGACTATCTATTAAACTAATCTAAAATAAGAGTTAGCTATCGTAATAATGACGCTGCCATTCGAGATTTCGATCGCATGGAGAAGTGAATGAATGAATAAATATGAATAACGCTGTACTGTACACCAGAGAAAATTACAAAAGTAACAAAAATTATATAAAGGTACAATTTGCGGCCAAATCGCTTAGAAGCGATTTCTTCCAGGCAACCAGGTTGCAGATGATACAATGACCAGTGACATGGGGTTGAGGTGTACGCTATTGTAAATATAATTCATAATATAAGCCACTGTTATAGACACATGTATACAAATAAATAGCGTTAGAGAAAATAGTAAGAGATGGTTCACCGGATGTTAAGTAACCACCGCCCACAGACATTTGCAACACCAGTTGCGGCACAATTTTTCTTTTTTTTTTTATTAATCAAAAATATAGAAAGATGTATTATACCAAACTTCCACGTTTGATGGTGAGACATGCTCGTTTTTAAATATGATTTATTCTAAACATACTACTAATTTATTTATATAAGCATACTATGTCCGTTATATTCTAAGTACCTGGAGGACCGCGCTTTGCTCGGTTTTTTTTTGGTGGTTTCGTGTATTTCGGAAATTAAAGAAATATAAAATGAAGAAAGCAATGATTTGGTATAGAAAAAAAAATAAAAAAAATGAAGTGTGTAAATGATCGTGACACGAACCGCGGCCGTCTGTTTTGGGGCCGCCCGATTACCGACCGAGCTATTATAACATTTTTTTTTCGGCGAAATTTACCGTCATATTCGAATGATATTTTTCATTCCCTGAAAACAGGGACTAAGGATAAAGGGATAAAGGGATTTTCCAAAAATGTAAGTCGCTTAGTTATGTCGATTTTTCGCTCCCGAATCTACGCACATACAAAATTTCATGGAAATCGCTGGAGCCTATATATATATGCTCGTTTAAAGATATTAGATTTATGATAATTTATTTCTTCAATACATTGCCAGCTTTTAATAAAGTGAGCCCTGGTTACCTCACTCGCGAGACAAAACGCTGAAATATTATACTTCCACTTCACGCCGGTTCTTTGAGGTCGTGGTACTTCCCCGGACGGACCTGCTGTGTGGAGGACCATGATAAGGTTCATATTGACATGCTCAATGATATGATATTTAGTATAATAAGATATTCAGTAGTCTTTTCAAAAAAAATGTTAAAGTTACCCTAACGGAAAAGGCCTATTATAATGTGGAAGAATACATTGAGGGCAAGAATGTGTGGAAATGACTGCACTTGCAAATGCCCTGGCTTCTGCTGATTTTATACAAAAAAAATTTACATTTATATTATTTAAAAAAGAAAAGATAAAAAGACCGCAGAGTTTCTTGCCGGTTCTTCTCTGTACAGCTCTAATTCAGTGAACCGGTCGTAGTTTTTTTTTTGAATTTTCAATAAGAGGTAAGCCTATATTGAATGAAGATAGACTTTGACCTTTTGACTTTAAATTAAAGTTTGCTGAACGCATGAACGGAACAAAATGATGTCAGGTCAACAAAGTATCGTTTCAGTAAGCCAAAGATATTATTCATGGCGTGTGGAATGACTATGATGCTTCGAAGAAAGTTTCGTTTTGTGCTAACATTTTCATAACAAAGCTGTTTAAAAATCAAGTTATTATAAAGTATAATATTATATAAAACAAATATTTTAAAATAAAAAGTTTAGGTAAGTCTATCCAAATTTTTTAAATTAGAATCTGGCTTAGCGCATACAGCTATTATATTTCCCAAAGGACCACGCAAACAAAGTTTAATGTAAAAAATTGCGATTTATAAAACAGCTCTTACGAGATTTAAAACGAATTCGATATTCCGGATTTTGGGTTTTTTTTTCTTGGTTTCTTTAGTATCGTAACATTCTCATTCTCAAATAGTTACAGACATAAAATAAACACTAGAAATAAGGACAAACTTACGACGCCATTGTTTCGTCTACAAAAAGTAAATAGGTCATTCATGGAGCAAAGCATGTATAATAAAATCCCACAGTCGATAATAAGTCTGCCGCTTGATCAATTTAAACGTAAAATTAAAAGTCAAGTTATGGTTAAAGCATGCTATACTATTGCGGAATATCTCGACGACGCCAATGTGTGGAGTTAATACTGTTGATACTCACGTAGGCTAAGGCTATTATACCTGTATGTTATATTGTAAACTGATTCTTTTGAAAAGCAACTGTTGAGTTACTTGCCGGTCTCTTCTCAACAGAAACTGCTTTCCGAACTGGTGGTACATTACGAACCTATATATATAATGTTTTATGTAAAATTTGACGATTCACAAGAACGCGCAAGCGTCTATTTGAATAAACATATTTTTTATTTGATTTGATATAACTGCTTATTTTATCACTGAACAATGTATTTTCAATGTAGTTTACTCAGACATTTTCATACAAATGTTAAAATATTCCACTAATTTGTACGAAGCATTTTCTGCAGTTAGCTATCTCATTTAACTAAATATTTAACAGACTCTAGGCTGGAGGACCGGGCACTCGGGACGCTAATTAAATTGTAATACCCAAGGGTCCCTCGCTCTACAATTCATTCTGGTAGTCAGCTCTATTTAAACCGTTTCAAATGTAAGTGAAGACAGCCCATAAATTTTCACGCATATATCCTTACAATTAATTCGAATGTCGAATAAGTTGTTCCAGAAATAATTCTATATTCGTATACAAATGTGACTTTATTATTATACTTGCTAATAAATAAGATCACATATATTCCAACACCTGTACTCAGTAAATTACGTCTCCAAGACGTAGTCAAAATGATTGTACGCAATTATTATTTTTTCAAACCTATTTAACATAAGATCCATGCCTGGTCATAAATTTTAATTTTTCAAAGAGCTGGCAAGACACGTTACTCTTAAAATCTATATTTATTTATTTATGATTTATTACGATTGCCTTAAATGGGGAGTACAAATGCGGGACTTAATGTCAATAAGCCTTCTCAAGCAGTCAATCTGGGCTGCCGATATAAATTGTGGTACATAGAATAAATAAAAAGAAAAATATGTGCGCAAACGATTAAAATCAATATTACGGTGGTAGGGTCACGCAGCAGCCTCGGTTGTTGCTCGAATGGGCAGGCTCGTCGGAGTAAGTACCACGACTTAAAGAAGACCGGCGTAAACTGGAAGTATAATACTTGAGCGTTTCGTCTGGTGAGTGAGGTGGCCGGAGCACAATTTTCAAAAAGGTTGTCAACGCATCTACAAACCTTCGGGTGTTGCAGATGTCCATGGGCGGCGGTATTCGCTTAATGTCAGGTGAACCGTCTGCTCGCTTGGCAACTTTTCACATAAAAAAATCGATAAACATAACGTATATCAAATAAATATTAAAAGCTTAAATACTGTATATAAGATGATATAAAATCGATATATACTAATATAACGCAAACCATTATCAATACAAATACATACACATGTATTTGAACACTACATATACCTACAAACAATATAAACGGACCGGGCAGACGTTGTCATGGAAAAAATAAAAAAAAAAAAAAAAAAAAAAAATCATAAAAATCTGTCCAGCCGTTTAGGATGAGTTCAGTGACATAGAAACATTTGAACATTAGTCGCTCTCCGACATAATCGACCATACTAATCCGATTTATCCTTTTTAGGTGATGGTCCCG